ATAAATAAATAACTCACTGAAAACGAAGACAGAACACACACACATACCCAGCAGGCCCAACAGTATAACACACGCAGTCACAGGAGCAAGGCACAACAAAAGCACAACACACACACAATAGTGAAGGAGTGCTCCAACAGAGGAGGATGGGCGTGACTGGCATAGTGAGGTGCGATGTAGCGATGAGGAATCCTGAACAGTTTTAATATTTTTAACGTTTGACATTTGTCAATGTATATGATAGATATATATTTTAGTTATTTTAATGTGAGGACAAGGCATGCAATGAACTAGTTTGGCGTGGATTGAGTAAGCACCTGAAGATGGCATTTTTATGCCGAAACATGTAGTGCGAGCGAGAGAAGGAGATAAATGAGTGTATGCACTGCAAGACGGTTTAAATAAATCATGGACTTAAATCAGTGCAACAGGACGCTAAAATATAACATAAATAAATATTTATCAGATCTAGTTACAACTTACAATTCCTTGGAAAATAATGTACTTCATTCTGTGGTATTTTTTTAATTTTGCAGTAACTGGTATAAGTTACAAGCATAGATGCTATTAGTTCAAGTTGATAATTTCTGGCGAATACATGTACTCGTAACTTATAAGCTGAGACTCTACCATCTTACCTGACAATCAGTAGAGACATTTGTTCCCATTAACATAAAAGACCACAGATATAACGCAGATATACACCATGCCCCAAGCAGGATTCGAACCCTCCATCCCAGTATTCGAGAAGTAGAAAAACATGAGCGTGTCAGAACGCGCGCCGGTTATATGCGTGTCTTCTAAATGTTAAATGGACGCTTCAATCATTTCCTGAAATTAAATTATACGCGACTTTTTCGAAGCTCCCCAAGTTGCAATAACATTATAGTTTTCTATGCAACTTGTTCCCCAGAATCGTCTTTTTAATAGTGTTATCCCATAAAAACTTATGTAGATCCTGATTTCCTCCACATTTCTCCCATCAGACATGGATTCTAAATTGGACGAGTTAGTTTACTGCATTCAGAGAGTATATGGAATCGAACAGTGCGTGTGAACTCTATGAACCACATTCCCTTTTGTACTGTATTTGACTGGTTTCCTCTCAATGCGAGACTGTAAGTGCCTGCTGCCTTTAGTATTCGCAGGATTCTCAGCCTCTGCATACTGTAGCTGAACGATAATTAATATGGCGGATTCTTGTACAAAACTATCTTTAGGAACAAAGCGTTTCGATTAGATTACACTGCAGATGTACGTATAATTTGAAGAGTAAGATCTTCTTGGACTGTATCACCGTGTAGTTCGGCAGAAGTCAACCGATATTTCGGACTTGTATCGAAAAACACGGTGATATAACACAGAAGATCGTACCCCACAGTCAGCGCGTTGAGAACAAAAAACAGTACTGCGACAACTGATTGGCCTATTGTACCTGCCCTGGGTGGTTATGATGATGGAGAATTTGATTGACAAGGGAAAACGAAGTACTCGGAAAAAACCCGCCCCAGCGCCACTTTGTCCACCACAAATCCCACTTGATCGGACCCGTGCTCGAAGCCGGGCCGCTGCTGTGGGAAGCCAACGACTAACCGCTTGAGCTATGGCGCGGCCTCTATGTGCATATACGCGAAAATAATGGCTGAGGTCAAGATGTAAAATTAATAATTTCATTCTAAAGGGTTGTGACGATGTTGTATAACAGGCATGTCCAACGCGTCGATCGCGGGACGATTTTTGGTCGATCTCATAGGCCTTTAAGGAAATTATACGTGAAAAGCATGTAAATTCACTTGTAATATAATATGATTACTTTCAGATTTTGAAGGGAAAATACGTTTTAAAGTAATCTGTACTTTCAATGTATGTTGCTTTTACAACAAACATCATGTGTCGTGTTATTTTTACCAATATTTTTGCTTAAAGCGAGGTACGACAGTAGGAAGGGGTGGTAGATCACCGGCAGTTTTGACACTAAAAAGTCGATCACAACCTGTTTGAAGTTGGACATGCCTGCTCTAGGCAATAGAGGACACGAGGTTTCGGAAATTGGATCTTCAGGTGAGAAAATACGACACGTACTCAGTTGGGCCCCTTAGACGGAACTAATCTCAATCACTGGACAACTCCTGTCAGATTTACACAATTGTTTCAACATATAAAACTAGGCTAGTTCAGTGGACGATAACAAGAACCCATAAAATAAAAATTGCGATAGAGCACGCACATGTGTGGAACTAGGATAGAAAAAGAGGTAGAAATTTGTGCTAGAAACCTAGCTGACAAAAACTAAGTGCATGAGCACCAATGCGAAGAAATTTCCCATTTCTTCACATTTGTGTTCATGCAGTACTTCGCCCGCTCGAAAACTGGAATCGTGGGTTCCAATCGCACTCGAGACATGGATGTCTTTTGCGTTTATTCCCTGTGTAGGTAGAGGCTTTGTGACGGACTGATCCCCCGTCCAAGGAGTCCTACCGGCTGTGTGTACATATTAAGAAACCGAAAAGGCGGCCAAGGTTCACAAGGGCTGTAGAGTCATAGATGTGAATAGTATAACAGTCTCAGTTGAATTAGCCATACGAGTATTGTGTATTAATAGCTGGTTAAGGCAGTGTTGAGTCTCTTCAGAATATTGTTAGAATTCATAAGTAAACCGCCACTGTTTATGAAGTTCGTCATGAGGTTTTGAGGTTTTGATTCAGATTTAAGGTTCATTTACTCGTATAAGCTTCAACACGTGTATAATACAGGATGCGTCAATGAATCGGGCGATTTGGCAGCGATGGATTTTCTGGATTGATTAGTCGGGGGAAGATGCCACTACTGCCACCCAGCAGGCAGCCGACTTCAAAGCGTTTTCATTGCAATGGAGCTGTGGACTGGAGTACAACGTGCTTTTGCTGTGAAAGCATTTCACAAAAACGGTGACAGTTTCGTGATCGCTCAGCGTGAATTTCGAAGAGAGTTTGGTATTCATCGCAGTCGCGCTGTCCCATCTGCCCATGTTATCAAGACCTGGGCTCAAAACTTTGAGGCTACTGGTTCTACACTAAAGAAGAAAGGTGGTAGCGTAAAAACAGCACGTACACCCGAGAATGTAGCGGCAGTGAGAGAAGCCATTGAACGAAGTCCACGCAGGTCCGCGCGTCACCACGCTACATCGCTCGGGATGTCCGAAGCCAGCGTTCGGCGGATTTTGCTGAAAGGTCTCCACTTGTGCCCCCATAAAATTCAAATTACTCATGCACTACACGAACACAACTGTTAAACAGAGTTGATTTTTTTATCTGTTTAATCAGCAATCAGAATATGCATTCTATAAGCTAATGTTATGGTTGTTTAGATGACTTGATGAGGAGTCGTCCAGCGGCGAATCCTTAGTATTCAAATCAGGTCAGTTGGCCAGTTTCGTTTGAGTCGTCTGTTGTCTTCTCTTCTCCATAGCGTCCTTAGGAGTGGGTTTTTACGAGTTATGATTTTGTTGTGAAGTCTGTTGCTTTTTTGTTGGATAACGTCTTGTACGGAAGATAAACCGAGACCGGTGTGGAGTGTTGCGTTGGAGACATATCGTGGTGCGTCGACTATCATTCGTAGGATCTTAGATTGGCTTCTTTGGATTATTGCTATATTAGATTTACTGGCGCAGCCCCATAATTCCAGGCCGTACGTCCAAATAGGTATGATTATAGTCTTATAGATCAAAATTTTATTTTCAACTGTTAGCTTTGTTTTTTGCCTATTGGCCAGAGTTGATTTCTGCCAGACTTTTTTTGCAATTAATTAATCAAAACGAAGATGTCGTTAACAACTTACTGATGAGCGATGAAGCTCATTTCCATTTGTCGGGGTTTGTTAACAAGCAAAATTTCCTCTATTGGTCAGCCACAAACCCCAAAGAAATTTAAGAGAAACCACTTCACAGTTACAAAGTCACAGTGTCGTCCGCGATATTTTCGTTTTGAATTACTGGAAGATCATCTTTGAAGATGAGTGGGAAAGGGCTGTAACTATGACTGGACCACGTTACGTTCACATGTTGGAAGGCTTCTTAGCTCCTGGACTTTCTCGTCTTCCAGTCAAGGAAGAAACGTTTTTCCAGCAAGATGGGGCTATGTGCCACACCGCACGAGCTTCCATGGCAGTTGTGGATAACCTGTTTCCTAACCATGTTATCTCCAGATATGGGGACAGCATATGACCAGCCAGTTCACCTGATCTTTCCACGTGTGATTTTTTCTCTAGGGGTATCAACAATCTCAAGTTTTCAAAGTTCCAGCACCACACACAGTTCAGTAGTCGACACATCGAATTCGGAAAGAAGTTGAACGAATTCCCGTCGGCTGCAAAGACTAATGAGTGACTTTAGGAAGAAACTTACCGAGTGCCTACGGCGTAATGGTGGTCATTTGTCGGGTGTTATTTTTGGGAAATAGCTTTTTGTTTTCAGCGAGTTAATTGAAATGAAAACCCAAATGCTTTTATGTTTACGCGGGGGTCCACTCAGCCTCGTGATGATAATTGAGGAGCTATTTCAAGGAAATAGCGGCTCCGGTTTAGAAAACCGAAATTAACGGCCGTGGGAATTCGTTGCGCTGACCACGCGACACCATCTATCCCCAAAAAGTTGGTACTAAATTTCCCCATCAGGCGGCGGTCTCTCGGTCGGTATAATTCGCTTGCGGACTAAAATCACGGAGTTTGTTTTTTATGTTTACACTGTATTCATATGTGTTAAAACCAAATAAATGCAATAGGTTACTGTTCATAATATTTTCAACATCGCCCGATTCATTGATGCATCCTGTACTTCAAATTTTTGTTAAAAACAGAAAAAGAGAGAATTGAAACTCCTTAATTTGAGTAAAATAAATCAAGTAGCCAGTACAGTAAACACGAAACTGTCTTTATCTTATACAGGCTGTGTATATGTGACCCTGTTTGGAATGAAATCAGCAAAACAAATTTTACTCTCATGGTGATGTCGATTATTTTTGCAGGGGGTGGGATGGATGTACTGAGTCTGGACCAGGAGGTGGGCGCCTGGGACTCGGTGCTGCTGGACCCCCTCACAGAGGATAGTTTCATCGCAAACTTGCACCAGCGCTTCAAGCGGGACCACATCTACGTGAGTGAACAGCACTTTCTATTGACAGAAACGTGGAAGGCTCAGTCTTGTCCGAAAGATTGGTGATAGCTTCATTTCTTTACTGGTGTTCAATTTGTGGACCGCATATCAGTATCAAGTCCCAACGATTTCTAAAGCGCATAGAGTGTAATAATAAAAATTAATTATCTGATCGATATTTGAGTCAATTTTACCGACCACACAACATCTTTTTATTATTATTACACTACATGTTTCGACCTCAAGAGGTCATCCTCAGGTGTACGAACACAACTGTATAATTACACGCAATCATATTCGTCTTCTCACTCATTCGGTACTGTATCTTATTCAGACTCACGCTCAATAATATATCAAGCTCTCTCACAAAACACAAGTTAAAATTGTTCTAAATGTCAAAAGTTAAAATTTAAATTTAAAATTTTTTTAAAAATTTAAAATTTGTGAATCGAATTTCAATTCAGATCACTTTCACTTGTATTCAGTCACTTCCTACTTACTTTCATCACTGCGTCAAGTTAACTTTAACTAGTTTAATTATATTATTGATTAAACGTTCATGAATTAAAGTTCAATTTTATTATAGATTGCACTTTTTCACTTTTGGAGGTAGAACAGCAAGACCTCCAAAAGTGAAAAAGTGCAGTCTATAACAAGCATAACTAGTGATCTGAATTGAAATTCGATTCACAAATTTAAAATTTTTAAAAAAAATGTAAATTTGAATTTTAACTTTTGACATTTAGAACAATTTTAACTTGTGTTTTGTGACAGAGCTTGATATATTATTGAGCGTGAGCCTGAATAAGATACAGGATCGAATAAGTGAGAAGACGAATGTGAATGCGTGTAATTATACAGCTGTGTTCGTACACCTGAGGATGACCTCTTGAGGTCGAAACATGTAGTGTAATAATAATAAAAAGATGTTGTGTGGTCGGTAAAATTGACTCTAATATTGATCAAATACACAACAGGATGCAAGAAACAATTAAAGTTATCGATATTTGCTTTATTAAACAGTACTGTCATTCTGTTATAACCTATTACATCTACACAGATTCTAATATATGGTGGACATGTTGAGGAAAGGGCTATGTCTCATAATAGAAGATTATATTACTGCAGCAAAGTTAGTCTCACTGCATGCAGTCATAAGCCACTTTCTTTTTCACTGGCTCTACAGCCTCTTGGGCCCTGGCCTCTGATTATTTAGTTTCATCATCATTTTACAGACGGTAGGACTCCTCAGATGATTGATCAGCTCGTCGCAAGGCCTCTGCCTAAACACAGGACAACACAAACACAGAATAAACACATACACATACCAAACATCCCGAACATCAGTGCCTTGTGGGATACGAACCCACGATTCCGGCTTCCGAGCGAGTGAAGACAGTATATGCCTTAGACCGTTCTGCTACCGTGATAAGCCACATACTAACAGTAAAATTTCTTCTTGGGACCTTATTTAGGCTTACTAGTCTCTGTGCAGCCTGAAAAATGAATGTCGATTTATCTAAAATATTACATTTAAAGTGTGTTTCGAATAGCTTCAGTATTAGATTAACACATGTATTCTTTCAGTGAATTGCAAGACACAAGCTAACTTTATTCCTTGGAATACTGACTGACTGTACAACTCACAGCTGAACAAATGTGACAGGAAATGTGGTTTTAAAGGACGGTCGTAAGTGACTCAACATTTCCACAATCTCAAGCATCCTAACAAGTTAGTGTCATGTGCGCAATTAGGTCCATATGTGATTTTATCTGTTTGTGGCATAGAAATCTAGGCACTGCTTTTGTGTCTGGTTATTATTTTTCTCTGCCATATCTATGCACTTTGATGCTTCTATCCACGGATATAAATCTCTGCCATATCTATGCACTTTAATGCTTCTATCCACGGATATAAATCATGCACAGAATGATATTTTTATCACATCCCCCGTGTGTGGTCTTATGTTGTAATCATGGACTATGTGCAGCTTTTGACCATTGAACATTCAAACAGTATACAGGCATAATTTGTAGCTATATTTATGCCGCTCCAGTGGTTAATAAGTTATCTCCACCAAAAGCAAAATATATATTGTATACTTTTCGAAGATCTATTACTGTACGTCATTTCAGTACCCTTAGTAAAGTGGCAATAGCATTATTTCCTCTCACAAGTTTCGTCTCTCCTATTGTTCGTGTTGATTGTGGGAAGGTATAACACATAGCGTTAGGGTGACCCCCAGTGACATGACATTCAGAACAAGTTCCGTGAAATTCGACCAGGTGGCTCAAAATTTGAATTGGAGGACACAGCATAAAGACTCCAGCAGCCTATTCTTTTAGGTGCGTTGACAACCCTACGAAGAACCTATTGAATTCATTCACCCAGTCCGTCAGTCCGAAAGCATGAAACAGCTCGAGGACAACTGGACGGAATTTTATTGAATATATTGGAAAAATTTAGCACTTGCTTTACTTTAAGACTTATATTCGTTCCTGCGCATCTCTATTGAAACGTGATAAATATTTAACAAATGGCAAACTGTTGTGAACAAAGGAAGTTAAAAATGAAGCATGTGTTTTATATCTAGTACACATTATCAACAAGTCTAGATTTTTCGTAGTAATTCAACGGAAGTGAATGCTATATGAATGCACTCCCGAACTTGCACACTAAAAAATCAACCATGGCATCGTGCACACAATTGCCGCTATGAAAAAGTCGTTATGAAATTTAATTTGCGTTAAAATCAAATGTATTTTGTTCTACGAGTACTAATATTCGGCTTCGAAATATCGGTGTGTATTTAATATTCGTTCAGCGTGTAGTGACACTGAACATTGAGGCCTTAATATTGATTGCTTATTCGTTTAGTGTATAGTTTTTATTTTTTTCCTTGGCACTACAGCCCCAGTGGGCCTAGGCCTACCTCCATGAACTTCTCCGGTATAGTTTTTACCTGTCAAAAATTTGAATATCGTCACGTAACAGTGAATAATTACATGTGAATTCAATCTTGCTTTATTCATAGTTCAACTTGTTTCTTTCATAAGTTCTTCTCTCGAAGGCATTTGTTGAATATGTGCTTATAAAAGCTTAGGCAACAAAGTTGACAAATGGACGTTATAAGAGATGTAGGTTTCAAATAAGGCATGTAAATCAAAGAAGGCCAAAATAGCTGAAATTAAGAAGTCGCCGATGTTTAATAAAAATGTATTGCTGACCGCAAGAACAGAAGTGATTTACATTTAAAAATAAGTTTCTGGGAATAAATGTGGAAATAATTAAGGTCATCAAAAAGAAACGTGACAGACTAGAAGTGTTTTATTGCATAGTTGCTCGAGGTTTTCTTTTACCAAAAGGCATAAACAAACTGAAATAACAAATTAGGAGATTTCAGACCATAATGGGGAAATATAAGTAAAATAACAGTTTTTAATGCAAAACAAAATCCACACAAACTGTTTATGATATTCAGTAGGTAGGATGACACGATCTTCTTTGGCGTATTTATTGCACTCACTACTTAAGGACATGTCTGTAATAAGCTTCGTAGTATCATGTCTCTTTATGTGACCAACGTTTCGGAAGAACCTTCTGCCTCCATCTTTACTCTTCTACGCCTGGGACCTGAGGCAGGGCGTTTCTTCAGAACGTTGATATCAACGTCATATCTCAGAAGGCCGTAATAATGTCCCAGATTCTTCCTTTGTTCTGGTGGCTCTAGCGCAGTGCTTCCCAACCGCCGGGCCGCTGCCCAGTAGTGGGCCCTGGCATCAATTATACTGGGCCACAAGAGGCTCTTCTGGAATTTGTCATTTCTAAGCATTTTTCATGAATAAATATTTTATAGTTAGCTTAATGCATGAACTTTAACAAAACTGGAAAGGTACGAGGGTCGTACTGAAAGTCATGAGCAACCATTTTTTGTAAAGTAACATGCTTTATTATTGACAAACCAAATACACCACCTCAATCTACAGACCTTTCTCTATTTTTCCACATAATAGCCACTTCTTTGTACACCTTTCTCCCAGCGTTCTGGGAGTTTGAAAATTCCCTTTATGTAAAATTCCGTTCCAGCCATCCGAAGACACTGACGCACTGCTTTCTGAATTGCCTCCTTTGTCTCAAAACGTTGTCCACGCAGCTGATCCTTCACAAATCCGAAAAGATGGTAGTCGGAGGGTGCCAGATCAAGGCTATAGGAGGGGTGTGGATGAACTTCCCACCCCATCTTTGCAATTGTTTCCAATGTGACATTTGTGGTCTTCGGTCAATAACCGCGGGACCCAACGAGCACAAACTTTCCTATAGCCCAAGCTTTCAATCATCTCTTGTACTGCACTGTGCCCTATTCCAAGTTTTCGGGCTATTGTGTCCACAGTCACACGCCTGTCATCTTCAGTGATCTCATCCACTCTTTCCTTGTTGCGTTCAGTTGAGGCTGTTCGAGGACGACCGCTCCGAGGCTTACCTTCGATGCTGGTGTTCCCATCTTTAAAATGTTTCACCCATCTTCGAACACTGCTCGCACCCATGCACACACTTCCATAAGGACGCTGAATTCAGAAAGCAGTGCGTCAGTGTCTTCGGATGGCTGGAACGGAATTTTACAGAAGGAGAATTTTCGAACTCCCAGAACGCTGGGAGAAGTGTGTACAAAGAAGTGGCGATTACGCGAAAAAAATAAAGAAAGGTCCGTAGACTGAGGTGATGTATTTGGTTTTTCAATAGTAACGCATGTTACTTTACAAAAAATTGTTGCTCATGACTTTCGGTACGACCTACGTATTTACGAGTAAATTTGTTGGGACTGGGCCCTCGTCTTGTAAAGAAAGAAGTTACTGGGCCGCGGTCTCATAAAGGGTGAGAAGCACTGCTCTAGCGGACCACGTCAGAGAAAGACTTGCCCTTTTTCCCTTTTTAACTCGGGAATTTATGACAATGTTTATTTTTCCACGGAACTTTCCATTCTCTTCATTTTCGTTCCCTT